TCCCTTCGAAAACCTACCATAGTATGGCCAGCGCACGCGCCGATGACATCGGATGCGCCCTTGCCCGCGCGATTGGCACCGGTGGTCTGCCCCCGGACATCCAGGCCGCTGATCGGCACGCTGGGCCTCGCTTCCAAACTCGGAAATGCGCGCGCATCAGTCTGAACGACGACCGCCACTGAGCAGACCAACGGGCCCCGCGACATGCTAGGCCACGCACGCCGACCCAGCGCTCGTCAAGATTGACGGCAAGGCCAAGTACCTGGGCGTCTACACCGGACCTGAAGCTTCTAATATCGTGGCCAGCGCGCTGCCCCTGCTGCCAAATGGCACCATCGCGCCCAGCTCATGGGCGAGGAACGCGCACCTGTCCAACTGGCGTGGCCATCTACAACTCGGCCGCCATTGCGCGCTTGGCATACGTTGGACAACTCCCCCCAGCACCTGAGATGGCCCTCAGCAAGGAGATCCACACACTCCACAAGATCTGTCGGTCGGCACCATCTGTTTTCGCGAAGCTCGACACCCTCTGAATGAAGAACTGGGGCGGGGCAGAAATTCCAATCGGGACAGAGTTGTTTTTGGGCGACACCCTTTGACGCGCAGCGACATCTGCCATCGAGACATGGCCAGAAACGCGCGCTGCGCTCGATGCCGCCGCCGAACTCACGCCCCGATCGCGGCTCCTATCGCGGGGTACTGGCGCGCACCCGTATCGATCGCCCATCACCTCACGCGAAGAACAGCACGGTCTTGCCCACGAGCAGAGAATCAATGTTCATGCACTCGGAAAGTACACCTTAGGCGATGCTTAAGAAAACCTAAGTTTTCGGCCAGAGTCTCGATTATTCTTAACGTTTCAATGAAAATCCTAAGATTTGAATGGAAACTTTAGGCTTCTATTCCAGTTCTGAGACTATGAATTTCTTAACCCATGATTTCTTAAGCATTTCGCAGGGTGTAAGCTCCGAGCCCCAGCACGAGCGCGACAACGCCTTCCGCTTGCACACCGCCGCGCACACGGCACGCCAGCGAACCGGCGCGCACGGCAGCACCGCGCCAGGACTGGTGAGCCACCCCGTCGTGCGCCACACGGTCACCGCGCGCACGGGAGCTCCAGCGCCAGCCCCACCACGATTGGGAAGCGGCTGCACTCGTGATATCCATCACTTCCGACGTCGGGGGAGAGAAAGATACGGATACGTGTTGTCCCCCTTCGTTTTCGGCCTTTCCTGGCCCTCCTGGGGAATCCTCGTTGTCACCGCTGGATTCGCCTCGAAATTCTGGTCAGAACGCACCCCAGGAGAGGTCCGGGGACAACACGTATCCGTATCTTTCCGCCCCCCAACGACGGCCGCGAGTTCGCAGGAGCCCACCTCACTGGAACTACAAACGCGTCGCCGCGCCCCGCCTCCCGCGCCAAAGGCTCCGCCGTCAACCCTCGCTGAGACCGATGGTGACCTCGGCGGCGTTGCGCGTGAACTGCACACCGTTGCCGAGATTCTGGAGCAATGGGCATCGGGCTGGTTTGCCCGACCTACGCGATTCAGAAAAGACGATGGGGTTGAATGGTGCGAAAGACATCTCGTGTGCGCTTAGTAGGCAAGGATTGCATGGTCTTTTCGAGGCATGATGAGCTCCGGCACTGAGGCCGCGCCCGATGCATCTGCGAAGAAGCACGGCAACGCTTCATCTCTAGCCGATAGCAGCGAGCGAGGCTGATGCGGCGGATCCCCCGTTCTGCAGAAATACAGCACCAGCATGAGCTTGCCGCGCACGAGCAGATTAAGAGACGCCGCCCCATCATGTTTGTTGACCCAGAGAACGACCCCACGAACACGACTGTCGAGACCATTAATGCGGACGTGACTCAAGAAGCGGCGACCCTCCATGACATGACGACGCTTCTCCAGCTGCCTGGTTCGGGCTTGCGTGGCCTGGCGTCGCATCCGAGCACCTGTGGCTCGTCTTCCCCCTTCTAGACTGTGGCCCGTGATGAAGACTCTCGTGGGGGATGGGCAACCTCTCATCGTCTTCACGTTCAACCAGTACGCCGCGCTTGTGTTTTGGTTGCGGTGCCCGTGTATTCCCTGACCCCATCGGCCACTGCATGACTGGCCCCAGGATTGGGCACGTGGGTGCCCATCCTCGCGGTCGTCTCCACAGTTACGTCCTGGCCCGTCTCGGCCCCCATGACGCGAACTTTAACGACGACCTCGAGGCCGACGACCATGTCGACCACGCGCTGGTATGATGGCCGTTCTCTACCGCATGCGCCACTCCTTCAAAGACTCCGCCTCGGGCGGCTCCTACGAGAGCCAGCTTGAGGCCAACGCGCAGCCCGCTCCTCCTCGACCGCCGTCTTCCTCGCGCGATCCCACCCCCCTGCCGCCCGACCGCGACCGTTCTTCTCGCTTGCCTCGAAACAAACATACACACACTGCCGCGCGCGCAGCCGTCCCGTCGCACCCGCCACCAATCATCAATAGCGGCGAGGCGCTGCGCGAGCGATCGGGGGGTTGCGCTCCGATCGGCGACGGTGCCAACGCTGCTCGCGGCTGAGAAGGTCCGAACCGCCCCCACAGGCCAAGGCCGTTCCTCCTCCTCCTCGTCCTCGGCTTCCTCCTCATCCTCCTCCTCCTCTTCCTCCTCCTCCTCCTCCTCCTCCTCCTCCTCCTCCTCCTCCTCCTCCTCCTCCTTCTGTTCCTCCTCATCCTCCTCCTCCTCCTCCTCCTCCTGCTCCTCTTCCTCCCCCTCATCCTCCTCATCTTCCTGGTACTCCTTCTTCCCTTCCTCCTCCATCCCTTGTCCTCATGAATAATACCTCCCTGTCGCAACCTCAGACACGGCGGTAGCGCGGGCCGGGCGTTTCACCTTTGAGACTTCCTCACCATGGGCAATCCTGAAACTTGAACTTGAGCGGGTCGTTTTCAAAAAGGTGGTTTTCGCTTGAGCGCCGCGCACATTCGTCGTCAAAGTTTGCTGCAGCTTCAAGGATATTTCAAAATCTCGCTCTCGCCCTCGCCGGTCCTTTTTAAATCTCGCTCTCGCCGCAGCGCCCCTCAGGATCGTTACGAAAAAATCGCAACAGCTTTTAGGATGGATCGCGGGTCGTTTTCAAAATGTCGTTGCCGCCGTAACGGCGCGCACATGCGTTGTAGAAGTGCGCAATATCTTCGACAATTGAGGGCGGATTATTTTCGTTATCGCCTGAGCGTTGCGCACAAGCGTTGCAAAAGTCTTGCAACAGGATGGAGTGCCATTCAGTTTCAAAATTTGGCTCTCACGCCAGCGCCGCACACATTCGCTTTAAACGTTTGTTGCAGTTCAAGGGTTCGTGTGGTTGAAGTCCAAGGAACGGTGTGCTGGCACGACTCAGGGTTGTAAGGACGCAACGGCATCGATGATCCGAGGTGCTACAGTCTCAAAAGCTTCGCCCTGGTGCGATTCAGGATTGTCAGGACGCAACCGTCACGTTGATACGCGGCGTTGAAGTCCCAGGAAAAGTGAATTGGCACGATTGAGAATTCTCAGACGGTTGTTTTCCAATGGGTCACGTCCCGCAATGAAAGTACATTCTCGTAGGGACTTACCAAGAGGGAGCTTGGAGGGATCATTGCAGCATCGTTGATGTGAGTTGGGTTTATACTGGTCCTCCTCCTCCTCCTCCTCCTCCTTCTTGAGGGCTGGCGGGAGGAGGAAGGAGGAGGGGCAGGAAGGGATGGCGAGGAGTGTTAGGAGGAGGAGAGCAGGGAGGGGGGGAGGCTTCGGGCTCAGGTCTGTTGTCGAAGCGCCTCGGCGACAGGTGTCGACATCTTTCAGCGACGATGTATCGGCAAGGGGACGGGACGGAGGAACGGAGAGGAGGGGTGAAGGGTGCCGTCTGACACCGACCCTTGAGCTGTACGCCACCACTGCGGGCCTCTGCCCCTCGGGGCGGCCGCGCTGGTGCCCAGACTGCACCGTGGAGAGAGATGCCGCGACCGACGCCTCCGAAGCGCAGGACGACCGCCGGCAAAGAAAAAGTCACGCGGAGATTGGCAGCGGCCCCACGTACTGCGACGCTCTCAGTGGGGCCGCGCCCCGGCGCGCACTGCAGCGTGTCGTCCCTCGTCCCTCGTCTCTCGTCTCGTCCTTCCTGCCGCGAAGCGTCAGAGCATGTGGCCATGATTCGATCGGGAAGGCTACGGCAGCGCGAATGTTTTTACCCTCGGGTTCGGGCCCCTGCGTCTGCACCGTGTCCAGAGTCTGCGCTGCGTTCCCGTAGCTTCTCATCTGGTTCGGGCCCGTTTCGCGCAGCAGCCGTTTGCTGCATTCCCTCTGGACTGATCCTTGCAGGTGGTGTTCACCACGTCGGTTCCAGCATCTGGCCACGCGTACGTACTCGAGGAAAGCGTGAGGACTGGCAGCGAGACACGTTCGCACCGCTGTTCCCGACTTGCCGCGGGGTAGGCGCACAATTGGCCACCAGACCTCTGACGTCATGCTTTTCCTCACGGCGTGAGCCCTGGAGCTCTCGGCCCCGACCCTCCAGGACTGGTTTCCGCCGTGGGCCGTTCTGTTCTGGCAGGCCCAGGACCGGGTGCCGCGGCGCCCTCAGCTCCGCGCCCTGTCACGGCATCCGCCCGTGGGGCGGGAGCCTCAGACGGAGCACCGCCGTCTCCACGGGAGGGCCTGCCTCTGCCCTTCTGGCGAGCCCGGCCCCGCTCAAGACCCACAGCGGATCCACCGGGGCGGTCGTGGGCGAGCACGCCTCTCCGTATCCGCGGCCTCGCCAGCCGCGCCCCCTGGGCCGCGACCCCGCGGACGCGCGGCACTTTCTCGCGGACGCCCCGCGTGGAGCATGTCCGTGCCGCCGCGGATCCGCGGGACCGCCGCGCCCCCCCGGAGTCGGGGCCGCCGGGGCACGGACACGGGCGCGCCCGCCGCCCGTGGCGGCGGGAGGCGAAGAGAGCTGCGCGGGAGGAGGCGGCGGGGCCGAGGGCGCGGCGCCGCCGGCTCGAGCGTGTGTTTTTTATGGCGCGGGGGGGGCGCCGCGCGCGACCCTGCAGCGGCGGGGCGCTCTGGGCTCCATGTGCCTCTGCGCCGGGCGGGGCACCCCGGATGGCTCCAACTTCCAGCGGCTGCTGCACTCCGCCCACGACGGGGTCCTCGACCTGGCGGTGCTGGAGGCGGTCCGGAGCCGCAGGGCGCTCCCGGCATCGGGGGTCCGAGCGGGTGGGGTCGGAGGATCGCGCCGCGTCGGCGCTGCCTCGGCGAGGCGGCTCGGTGTGGAGCCCGAGGTTCTTCACGCCGGCGGCGCCGACGCATCGCCGACGCATCGCCGATGCATCGGCGAGGCACCAGCGATGCGGCGCGATCCCCCGACCCTGTCTGCGCGGAGCCCACTCTGGGAGGGCCTCCAGGAACGACGGCAGCCTGACGCCCCAGGGCACGATGAAGGAGATCCAGGGGATCTGGCGGCAGGTCCGCGCCGACACCTCCAAGCGCCTGCCGCCGAGGGAGGTCCTGGACCTCTGCAGCTTCGTCGTGTGGTCCTCCGAGGCGCTGCGCGGTGGCACGGGCGAGCTCGCCGGCGGGCTGACGGGGGAGCTGCTGAAGGCGGCCACGAGCGCTGACGCCGCCAAGGGCGGCGCGCAGGGGGCGCACGCGGACAGGGTGCTGCGGCAGACTCTGGCGCTGTGGGCTGGGATCTACAGGCCAAAGGACGCCAGCAAGAAGGACGCCGCCTTGAAGCAGCGGGCGGAGAGCTGCGCCAGGGAGGGCGAGGAGGAGGGCAGGCTGGCCGTCGAGGTGGCCCGTGAGAAGATGAGGATGGTTGCTCTCGCGCCTCGGCTTTTGCCGTGCCTTCTGCCGCTGCACGACGACGCCCTGCCCGTGGCTGCCGCGGTCGTGCGCGTGGCCCTGGCGGAGCACCAGCTCCCTGGGCTGGTGCTGCAGGCGCTTCCGCGGGGGGGGGGCGCTTGGGAGGAGAGCCTGGTGCGCTTCGAGACCCTGGTCAAGGCCGTGCTCCACACCGTCGGCAGCGAGTTCGTCACCCACGTGCGCGCCGCTCGGGCGAAGGTGCTCGGAGGGATGCCGACCCTCCGGAGCGTCAACCCCAAGAGGGAGCCCGAGAAGGCCTCGGCCTTCGCGAGCCAGTACGCCCAGGCGCTCGGGCAGTCCGCGGCCGAGCTGCTCGACGCGTGCGGGCAGCTGCCCGACAACTCCTCTCGTGGCGGCTTCGCCGTTCTCCGCGCCGTCGTGCACGCGCTGCTCTCCGCCCCGGGCGCGGAGCGCCCCGGCGACCCTGGCGAGGCCGCGCCCCCGCTGAGATCTAGGCGTTTCCGCTGTTTCGAGCCGAGCGTTTTCGCTTCCTGTTGTTCGGGCCCCGGGACCCTCACAGCTCGATCTGGCCTGAAAACGTGGCGCAGAAAGATGGGGTCTCGGGCTCCGAGCGCGTGGCTTGCTCCACGCTGTGTGGCAACTTTTCGGCTACGCCAGACCTCAGGGCCTGTCGGCGCACGAGTGGTGCGCCTTCGAGTTTCTGAGAGTCGCCCTGCTCGACCACGCGCGCGCGCCCCAGAAGCCGAAGGGCGCCGCCGACCTGAACGCGCGGGTGCTGCACTCCCTGGTGCTCTCGGCGCAGGGGCCTGCGGCGCACTGGGCCGGCGCGGGCGCGGGCGAGGCACCACCCTGGCGGGGGGAGGAGGACCTGCAGCTGCCGGAGGCGCACCTCGGCGCGGCGCGGCAGGCTGGCGAGGGGGCGAGGGCAGGGACGAGGGCGCTCCTGAGGCAGCTCGCGCTCCTCGGCGACGGCGCTGGGCGCGAGGCTGTCCTGGGAGAGGCCAATTCGTTCGCGTCGCTGGCGCTCGTGCACCGACAGGCCTCCCGAGACTGCGAAGCCACCTTGGCCGCGATAGGCTTCGCCGCCAGCGTGGTGCCAGGCCTGCTCGAGCTGACCGCGCCGCGGTGGCTGGGACCGCGGCCGGCGCCCAGCCTCGAGCACGTCCAGCTCGCCTTCGAGGCGCAGCTGCTGCAGGGCACGCAGCGCGCCAGGAGGCGCGACGTCGCGGCAGCCATCGAGCAGCTCCTCGGGCCGACCTGGGCTGAGGAGGACCACGGCTGGATGCAGGACTTCCTGCGCCGGTTGAACGAGACCGTGCCTGGCGCGGGCAGCGAGCTGACGTGGCACCAACTCAGTACACTCTACAACCAGGCCCAGCCTCCACGACCAGCCTCGCCCAGCGTAGCGCTGACAGTCGCACCCAGAGACCACACGCATGAGGAGGAGGGGGAGGAGGTGCAGACGGAGGACGCTCCACGGATCCTCGTCGCGGCGAGAGCGCAGCAGCAGCAAGAAGAGGAGGAGGACGAAATGGAGGAGGACCTTGGACTGGGGCCAGTGGTGGTCGGCGCGATGGACGCCACGTCCGACGACGACAGCGACGGCACCCCCCGCCGCGGCCAGCGCGGCCTCGCCCGAGAGGCGTTGGCGGAGGCCGGCCGCCCGGGGGCCGGTGCGCCGCCAGAGGTGGAAGGTGCGGCTGGCGGCGTGCAGGAGCAGGAGCCGCGGCAGCAGCTCCAGCAGCTGTCCATGTTCGGGGAGGACTCGCTGACCGACAGCGGCGGCGCCCCTCTCACGCCGCGGTCGGCGAGCGGCGACGTCGCCGAGGCCGCCCAGGCGCTTCCCGCGGACCAGTCATCGCCGCCTCCCACGGCGCGGCCGCGGGAGCCCGGCCCCGGCCAGGAGACGCCCCCCGCCGCCGCTGGGCCGGCCTCTGGGGACGCCTCCGGCCTCTGGGCCGCCCCTGCGGGCCTGTGGCCGCCCTCGCAGCCGCCGCCGGCCGCCGCAGAGTCGCCGCGGCAGCTGACGCCGGCGGAGTCGCCAGCGCTGCCGGCGGCCAGCGACGGCCCGCTGGCGCTGGCACCAGCAGAGGGAACGGACGACAGCCTGGGGAGGCTGCACTCGTCCGCGGCAGCGTCCCCTGGGCCGGCCCAGCTGCTCGGCACACCCCCGCAGGCGGGCCACTTCGCCAGCCGCGGCGCGCCAGAGGGAGCGCCGCCCTCCTGGGACGCCGTCCACAGGCAGGCCCCCGGGCTCGCCCCCGCCGGCCACGCGGCCGATGAGGGTCCTCCTGCCGTCGGCGGGCTGGACCAGCTCGGCCACGGGTCGGTGCCGCCGACGGCCACTCTACTCGCGGGCGGTGCCACGTCCGAGGAAAGCTCGCCGCCGCTGCAGCTCGGAACGGAGGCCAGCAACACCAGCGGGAGCAGCGCACTGCTGCAGCAGGACCATCAGCAGCAGCGGCAGCAGCAGCTGGAGGAAGGGTCACCGCTGCCGCAGCAGGGCGCCGGGGACACGACGGCCGCGACACTGCTGCTGCAGGAGCCTCACGAGGGCTCGCAGGGAGAGCCGCTCGGCCGATGGCCGATGGCCGTCGCGGCCTCCCCTGTGGACGGCGCGCCCGTGCAGAGGCTGGAGCACCTCCCGGCCGCGGCTGCGGTCTCTGCCATATCCGAGCAGCACTGCACGCCGGGGCAGTCCGACCCGCACGGCGGCACGCCGTGGCCGAGCAAGGCGGAGCTCGGGGAGCTGCAGCGGCGCCCGCCGCCGGCCGAGGCTGGCGGCGCGCAGGGGGGGCAGGGCGAGAGGGGCGTCCGCCGTCTGAGGGGGCCGAGGTCGTCTCGAGAGAGTTCGGGCCCCTACGAGAAGTTGCCAAGCATGCTTCCCCAGACGTGGTGGCGTCGTGACAAAAAGTCAGGGCGGGAGGCTTGTCGCTATGTTCGGCCCCTGGGGGCACTCGCCGGGCCTCGGGGCCGTCCAAAAACGACTCCGGACGAAAAACCGGTCCTGGGGAAAGGGTCGGGACTTCCAGGGGCGTCGTCCTGAAAAAAAATCCGGGCGGCGCACGTCCGGGCCCGCGACGGATCACAGGCGGTGGGCCTTCTTGGAAGGCCGCCCCCCCCCCCCCCGACGCTGTCCCCAGCTCGCCGCCAGCGAGGACCACCAAGGCTTCGTGGCAGGCGGCGTCGGCAGTCCGGTGGACAGCGTGGGCGCGCTGGCCCCGGCAGCCCTCCTGGCTGAAGGGGCCATGGGACACACAAATAAATGCACACAAATAAAAGGATCCCCCATATTTTCCCATATTTTCTGAATTTTTGTCTTCCCCCCCACTTCCCATTTTTTCCCATATTTTCTTGGGAATCGACGATTAATTGTGTCTGTGTGTTTCTTCCCCTCCTGACTGGCGCAGGACTCGCCGAGATCTGCGGGCACGATGCTGACAGAAGCCGGCGGCGAGAGCCGGCCGAGGGTGCCCACGATGGAGGCGCTCCTGTGGGCCCAGCAGTGGATGCGCTTCCCCGCGGCCGCCCAGGAGCAGTCGCTGCTCGGGCTGCTGCCGGACTCGCCGCCGGCCGCCGCGCTGCCGCCGCCCGCGCAGCCCGCGGGGCCCGCGCTGGGCGACGGCCACCAGGGAGCGCTCCTCGAGGCTCGGGTGGGTGGAGCCGTGCGGGCCGAAAGTCCGCGCAGTGGCCGAAGGTCCGTCCAAAGGGCGCTCTCGCCTCGGCGCGGGCAGCACGCCGCCGGCGTCGCCTGCAGGCCGTGGCCAATTCGGTTGAGCGAGTCGTGGGGATGTCTCAGCAGAAACCGGCTCGTTTGGTTCAGATGTGGGGGCTGTGCGACACGGGCGAATCAAACGCACGTTCGACGAAAGCCAAAATCGCAGCGATGTCCCAGCATACTGGGCCAGCTTGATTGCCGCCAGCTTCCGTCGAACGCGCGCGGAGCAAGGGTCTGACGGTCAGAATGCACGCTTGTGCAGGCAGTTGCGCGTCTCGAGGAGGATGTTGCTGAGATTCCCGTCCTCTACGTCGTGTATTCTTGGTATCCGTGTCGCCGCCTCCGCCTACTCACTCCCGCCTCCTCCCTCCTTCAGCTCACGATCGGAATCATCGTGATGTGACAGGCATAGCACTTGGACAACACAAGAGGGGCCGCTAGGGGATAGGTCACTGGTTCGTGCCCAAACAAATGCTGGGGATGTCTCCTGCGATTCGCTTGTTTTACGGACGTAGGCGCATCTTGCTTCAGGGACGCGCGGTGTCAGCGACGTCGCAGCCATAGCCCTTGGGCACCACAAGGGGGAGCGCCCTAGAGGGCCACTGAGGGCGCCTCTTCTTCGCCACCCATTCAGGTCACCCCCCAATCCCAGACCCCCGCCGTCAGATGCACTTGTCATAGCGTCGACCCCCCGAGGTCTCGACCCTTTCCCCCGGAGGCCGGCTCTTCTCCCCGAGTCGCTGTTTCACGGCCCCGAGGCCCGGCACAGGGCCATCAGCGGCCGAAGATCACGAGAAACCTCCCGCCGCGATTTCTCGTGACCTCCTCCTCCTCCTCCTCCTCCTCCTCCTCCTCCTCCGCCTCCTCCTCCTCCTCCTCCTCCGCCTCCTCCGACTCCTCTTCCTCCTCCCCCCCCCTTCTCCTCCCCTCCTCCTCCTCCTCTCCTCCTCCTCCTCCTCCTCCTCCTCCTCCTCCTCCTCCTCCTCCTCCTCCTCCTCCTCTCCCCTCCTTCCCCCCCTCCTCCTCCTCCCCCTCCCTCCTCCCTCCTCCTCCTCCGCCATCCTCCTCCTCCTCCCTCCTCCCTCCTCCCTCCTCCCTCCACCCGCCCGAGAGGCAGACCTGTCGGGCAGGACCAGCGAGGGCTCCGCGTGGACCCCGGACTCGCCGGGCGGGCAGGGGCCCGGCGCGGAGGGGCGCCTCGGGCGGGGCGGCGGCCGCCCCGCCCGCGCCGAGGCGAGCGCCGAGCGGCGCCGAGCCTGCGGCGCCGGAGGGGCGTCGGAGGTCGGGCGGTGCGCAATGGGGGGGGGGGGCGATGCGGTCGGACCGAGGTATAGGACCGAGGTCGGTCCGTGGCAGGCGGGGGCTCCTCTCCTCCTCCTCCTGCGCTCCTCCTCCTCCTCCTCCTTCCTTCTCCTCCTTCTCCTCTTCCTTCTCTCCTCCTTCTCCTCCTCCTCCTCCTCCTCCTCTCCTCCTCCTCCCCCTACCTCCTCCTCCTCCTCCTCCTCCTCCTCTCCTCCTCCTCCTCCTCCTCCTCCTCCTCCTCCTCCCTCCTCCTCTCCCCCCCTCCCCTCCTCCTCTCTCCTCCTCCTCCTCCTCCTCTTTTTTCCTCGGCTCATGCTCCTCACAACCCCTCAACGAGCTGACTTGTGGCAATGGCTTAGATGGGGAGGTCGGCACCGAGAGGAAACACACACACACACACTCCCTCCTCCTCCCCTCCTCCTCCTCCTCCTCCTCCCTCCTCCTCCTCCTCCCCTCCTCCTCTTCTCCTCCTTCTCCTCCCCCTCCTCTCCTCCTCCTCCTCCTCCTCCTCTCCTCCTCCTCCTCCCCCTCCTCCCCCTCCTCCTCCTCCTCCTCCTCCTGCCTCCTCCTCCTCCTCCCCCTCCTCCTCCTCCTCCTCCTCCTCCTCCTCCTCCCTCCTCCTCCTCCTCCTCCGCCTCCTCTCCTCCTCCTCCTCATTCCTCCTCCTCCTCCTCCCCTCCTCCTCCTCCTCCTCCTCCTCCCCCTCCCCTCCCCTCCCCCCCTCCTCCTCCTCCTCCTCCTCCTCCTCCTCCTCCTCCTCCTCCTCCTCCTCCTCCTCCTCCTCTCTCCTCCTCCTCCCTCCCCCGCCTCCTCCTCCTCCTCCTCCCCCTCCTCCGTGGCGACTATGCCAAAGGTCTGCGGGGCACGTGCAGGCGCGTGGTGGCGGCCAAAGGTGCCGCTGTCAAGGGATAGCGCTGGTCTCAATCTCGAAGCGCAATCTAAGTTACTGCGCACCCGTCAAGAAAGTTGTTCATCTTGAGCACTGAGGATCCAGGCTGAGAGAGTACCCTAATGCTCTTCATGTCTGTTGGAAGCTCTTGTGCATCCTGGGGGAGGGCACCCTAGAATGTCCTTCAGCTTGGGCCAGCGGAGGGCGTCATGCTCTTGGAGGGCAGTGTTCTGCCCTAGGTCCGACCGTACACTCAGGGGCAAGGATAGGGGGTTAATATTCAGGCTCGAGGGGGCGCTGTCGGTTCTCAACGGTCTTCTGGTCCCAGGATGCTTGCCAGCATCTGCGCGTCGCCGAGCTGTTTACCAGCAGCTGCTAGATGTTCGATTGGGAGACCTTTCCGGGGCCACTCGCTCCACTCGTGCGTCGAAGCTGCGTCGAACGTCCGCCGACTGGAGACGAACTTGAGTCGAGTCGAACCTGAGTCGAACTGGAGTCGATTCGGACTCGAACTGGAGCCGAACTAGAGTCGAACACATCCGTTAGGTGGGCCCCATGAAGTTCTCCATAACGAGCACCGGGGCGATGGGCAAGGGGGGGGGCGCATCGACCCCCAATCGCCCAGTGATCGCCGATGGGGGCCCGACAGCCCCACCCAACCCAGGGACTGCGGATTTGCTATCGGGGGCTTGTCGCCGATCTATCGGCGATGTATCGCCACCTCTGGGTCGATGTGTCCCCCCCCCATTATGCCAGTCCCCCCCGATCGTTGCCCCTGAGAAGCGCAGGGGGGCGAAGAAAAATGCACCTTTTTGTGCCCTGAAGGGGCCTCCTGGGGCCTAGAAATGGCACGGGAGGTGCAGTTCTCTCCCCCCGCCATTCCCAAGACCCCTGACGGCACGATTTCTTCAAAACTTCGACCCCCATGGGTCTCGACCCATTCCCAGGGGCCGGCTTCTCCTCCTGAGTCGTTGTTGGACGGTCCCGAGGCCCAGTCAGGGCCCCCAGAGGCCGAAAATCGAGAAAAATGGTCCGTCGTTATTCCTTTTGTGACTCGACGGGGTCTAGGTGTATCGTCCCCCCACTGACAGCAACGCCCACGGAGGCATCGGCATCGGGGTCGGAGGGGCCGAGCGGCTCGGGGAGCCGCGCGGAGGCGTCGGCCGCGGAGGCAGGCGGGGGCCTCGGCCCCGCCGAGGCGTCGGCCGCTGGGGCGGGGGGGCAGCCGCCGCACCCGCAGGCGCCGATGGAGAACGAGGATGAGGCAAGATGAGGAGGAGGAGGAGGAGGAGGAGGAGGAGGAGGAGGAGGAGGAGGCGGAGGAGGAGGAGGAGGAGGAGGAGAGGGAGGAGGATGGATTGACAAACTCTCTGTCTTCGCCCGAGGAATCCAGTCGTTTCCTGCCGCAGGTTCGTTCGAGCCTGGCGCGGATGTGGCTGCCGAGCTGACGTGGATCATCGTGTGTCCCTCTCTTCGGCGACTTCCAAAGAGGATGGATTGACACAATGGACCACGGTTCTGCGGAGGAGGAGGAGGAGGAGGAGTCGGAGGAGGAGGAGGAGAAGAGGAGGAGAAGGAGGAGGAGGAGGAGGAGGAGGAGAAGGAGGAGGGGAGGAAGGAGAGGAGGAGGAGGAGGAGGAGGGGAGGAGGAGGAGGAGGAGGAGGAGGAGGAGGTCAGTGGCGTCTTTAACGAGTGGTTCCTGAAGACAGGTGGCCTGTCCTCCCCCGAGCTCGGCCTGGCCACGTGGAATGCGAGAGCTCTATTTCATCACTGCCCAAGAGTGCGGACCACGAAACAGAACTTTTTCCTGGGAATGTTACGAGGGTTCAGGATCATTGGTCTCCAGGAGGCTCACGGAAGTAAATTCGACCTTGACGATTTTCTGCACATGTCCACCACGAAGTATTCCGCGGTCTCCTCCTTCCTCCCCGTCTCGAACAAGGGCGGCGTGGTCACGCTCTTCCCTCCTCCGTCTTCCTTCCCAGGACACGGGCCCTCGGTCTTTGTCAAGGAACTGGTTCGCGGTCGAGCTCTTCGCATTAAATTCTTCTTAGGCCCTGGGGTGCAGTCTGGGTCCGACTCGCATCACTGCATCTCGCACTCCAACATACATAACCACGACATCACCGCACACGGCACGCACATGATCATTCGTGCTATCGAGTCTGAGCTCGCTTTCGCCCTGTCGGACCCAGAGCACTACCTCGTCGTCGTTGTTGGCGACTTTAATCTCTCTCTCTCTCTCTCTCTCTCTCGGGTACCTCCGCGGCCCGAAGTGCCTTCGGAGGGGGGAGCTGCCGAGGACCCATATGTGCCGGCGTGGAGGCGACAGTTTCGGTCTCCATGGCAGCAGCTCTTTGCGCGCTTGGTCGAATTGGATCCAGGCGAGCACACCCACTACAACGGCTCTCGCCGCCATACGTCCGCCATTGACAGGATCTTTATATCGTGGCCAGGCTGGGTCGTCTCTGCCATGCACTTGGTTGCTGAAGTTCGGGACCTCCCTGAGACCCTTGAGCAGCGCAAAATCAGTGATCACGCCCCAGTCACAGCTGTTCTCCGCGCCCGCCCACCGCCTGACCCCGAGGACCAGCCTATCCCGAGACACGTTTTCGAGCATCCTGACTTTCAGAGGTACGTCGAGGCGTTCTGGCCCTCCCTGGACCTCTCCGAGCTCAGCCCCCCCCTGGTCCTCGAGCTTTACAAGAAGGTGCTTCGTGAAGGCGCCCGTTTCGCCAGAAACGCCCTGTTCTCCAAGGACCCCCACAACGTAGCCTCCCAGTTGATCCTCATGAGGTCCATCTCTCGGGCAGTATGGCGTCAAGATCGTAGGCTAGCTTCGCGTCTCCTTCGTTACCCATTAGCTCAAGATCTTTTGGTGGTTCGTGACGATGATAGGGTGGCTCTTTCGGATCCGGCACGTTTTTCTCTCTTGCTGGACGAGCTCCAGTATGCAGACGCGGAGAGCCAGCTGAGCTCCGTCCGCGCGGAGATTGGCGCCGCGGCCTCCCTTCCCTCCCCTGGTCAAGTCAAGGCCAAGCTGAGGAAGAGGCTCCAGCGTCTGGCACGGCGAGCCAAGTTGTGGGCGCCAATGGACCGCCGCACGATGCTCGCAGGAATCCGTGGCGAAAGCAATGTTGTCGTATCCTCTCAGTCTGATATGCAGAACGCGATCTCCTCCCACTGGCGCGATGTCTTCATGCCCAAAGACATAGACATGCACGCCGCGTCGGTGTACCTCCAGAGGTTCTGCCCCCGCTTGGACGTCTCAGAGGTTGCCCCGCCCTCGGTTAAGGACTTTCAGAGTTACCTCACCCGCCTTCCTCACTCTGCTCCAGGTCCTGACGGCCTCCCGTACAAGGCGTTCCAGAGGCCCCCGTACTCGGCCCAAATCTTGAATGACATGACGTGGTGGATCCTGAACGGCAACCCCGCCCCCATTGGTTACAACGACTTGTTGGGTGTGTCCATCCCGAGGGCCTCCGAGGACGATGACACCCCCCAGGGCTGCATTAGAGCTCCCACTAACCTTCGCTCTCTTGGGCTCAAGAACTGTGATAACAAAATTGCGACTGCCGTCGTGACCAGGAAGCTCTCGAGGATCCTCCCCCAAGCCACGAACCAGATCCAGCGTGGGTTCATTCTTACCCGCAACTTCGGCGATAACAGTATCGAGATGGATGCGATGGCCAGGATTTATTCGATGCGGGAGAGCGCCCCCGATCTTATGCCATCTCTGCTCAGCTTCGACTTCCAGCAAGCCTTCCCGAGCGTGGCCCACGATTGGCTATGCTCTGTTCTCTCGCGATGCGGTCTCCCTGAGGCCCTATGCTGGTTCTTCTCGCAGCTGCTGTTTGGTGCTCGCTGTTTCGCAGCGTGCGGCTCGGGCCCTCCCACCCTCCTGCTCCTTGTCCAGAGCGGCATCACCCAGGGCTGCCCCGCCTCAGGCTGCTTGTTCGCTGTGGGGGCGGACCCGTTCATGCAGGACTTCGACCGCAGCATCAACCAGCGGCTTCTGGGGATCGTGCGCGCCTGCGCGGACGACGTAGGCGCGGCCATCAAGACGCCCCGCGTGCCCCGCATCTTCTACAGGATCTTCAAGGCCGCCGAAAGGATTTCCGCCTTGACCCTCAAGGCCGCCAAGTGCAAGAATGTCCCGCCCGGAGAACCATTATTTGATGAGGATGTGGCCTTGCGATATCAGACCTGACTGTATTCGGTTCTTCCAGATTGGAGACAGTTCGAGGTGGCCCCCTCATTGGTGCATCTTGGCATGCATATCGGGGCAGCGGCGTGTCTTGCCAGCTGGACTGCACCACTCGCAAAGTACCGATCTCGGGCTGCACAAGTGGCTGCCATGAGTGGTCCCACGCGAGTCACGGCCAATAACTACAACGCCAGGTGCGCGACGACCCTGGGCCATGTCGCGCAGTACATGCCCCTCCCCGACGGCTTCGGTAGATCTGAGGCCGCCCTCCTCGCCCGCCTTTGGCACACCGCTCACTGTGCTCCCCCGATGTCTGGCTGGCTCAACTTAGACCAGTGGGGAAGCGCGAAATTTGATAGCCTGATCACCTCCACCTCAGCGGCTCTCATCAGAGCCAGTCTTGAAACGTTTCAGAGCTGGCGGACCGTTCTCCCCCTCCTCCGTGCCTCCGCCGAGGCCGACTTGCCCGTTTGTCTCCTCGTCCGCGGATCCCTGGCCCCTCCATTCTGGCAGCAAGCTTCATTTGCTGAATTCTTGGAGAGCGCACGGGCTGGTTTTCCCAGACCCGTCGGACAAGGCCTCGTCACTTCCCCCCCCTCCTCGCTCGCCCCGATGACCTCCGCTGCTGCTGCTGCGTTCACGCGCCCCCGACCCCCCTCCCCCCCCCCCCCCCCCCCCCCCCCCCCCCCCCCCCCCCCCCCCCCCCCCCCCCCCCCCCCCACCCCCCCCCACCCCCCCCCCACCCAACCCCCACCCACCACCACCCACCCCACCCCACCCACACACACACACACACACACACACACACACACACACACACACACACACACACACACACACACACACACACACACCCCACCCCACACCAACCTCCCCCCCCCCCCCCCCCCCGCCCCACCACCCACACACACCACACAAACACACACCACCACACAACACACAACACACACACACACACCACACACACACACACAACACACAACACACACACACACACACACACCCACCACCCACCCACCCACCCCACCACCACCCACCCACCCCACCACAACCCACCCACCCACCACACCACCACCACCCACCACCACCCACCACCACCACCCCAGCCCCCCACCCCCACCCCCACACCACCACCACACCCCACCCCACCCCACCCCCCACCCCACCCCCCCCCCTCCGCCCCCGCGCGGCCGCGGGCGGCCCAAACGCGAGACGCAACGCCACTTCCGATTGGCCATGCTCGAAAGTATGTTTCCTGATCCTCTCGTCGGCGTTTTCGCCGCTCGGGCGTCCGCCTGGGCCCCTGTCTCTGAGAATGGGGTTCGAGCTTGGCCATGGGAAGACATCCGACGGGTCCTAGTCCGCATGCCTCCCGCTCAGAGTAATGCTGTTCTCAAGTGATTAGTTCACGGGTGGACAACGGACCACCGTTTTCAGAGCGACAGCCCTTGTCTTCTGGGCTGTCTTCCTTCGGCTGTTGATCCCAGCCGTGACTCTTTCATTCATTACTGGTATTGCCCTCGTTTCCTGGCCATTCTCTGCTCGGTCATCCGCGCCCCCTCTCTGCCTGGTTGCTCGATCGCCCGTCTTGGCCTGCCCCCCCCCCCCCGCCCTCCGAGTCTCCTCTTGTTCCTGCTGCTGCCACCGTTCTCCATCATAACATTCACGCCCGTCGATGTACGCAGCAGGTTGCCGTTCGCGAGTCGGATGCCAAGGCAATTGCCTCGGCCGTCCGCTTTCAGCTCTTCAGGTAGTCGGACAGGCGCGGCGCGCTGCGGCCACGCGCGAAGGGGAGGAGGAGGAGGAGAAGGAGGAGGTGGAGGAGGAGGAGGAGGAGGAGGAGGAGGAGGAGAGAGAGGAGGGAAGGAGGAGGAGGGGAGGAGGAGGACGGGGAGGAGAAGGAGGAGGAGGAGGAGAAGGGAGGAGGAGGAGGGGGAGGAGGAGGAGGAGGAGGAAGAGCGAGGAGGAGGAGGAGAGGAGGAGGAGGAGGAGGAGGAGAGGAGGAGGGGGAGGAGGAGGAGGAGGAGGAGGA